AAAGCTAAACAGGTATTTGCCGCCACACCAAAAAAAAAAAAACAGGTATTTGCCACGGCAAATTGTACTTTACATGATGTAAAGCATGAGTTGGTGTTTTGTGTAACTTTGCCTAACTGGGTTATTGTTTCGGTAAGCTTTAAAGGCTTGTCTCAATTAAAAAACTGCAAGTTAGTTTCTAACACACAATAGCATCATGGATATTATAATAGTTAGGAAAATATCTTCAGCAGATGAATCGATTACTTAATACATCTTTTATCAAATATAAAAAAATAACATACTTACAGTACTCTTATTTCCTTTCATATCTCTATTTTTTATTTTATTTTTGATAAAGATGTACCTACTCTTATTATACCAAAATTCACTCAATAGTTAGAGACGGTTCACGATGTTCACACTCAATAGTTAGAGACGGTTCACGATGTTCACTCGAGTGGTGGGAGTGGGAGTGACTGAAGTTATAAAAGGCTGAAATTATTAAATTGAAAAAGTATTCTTTTTAATTTTTTTATGTTGATATGATATAATGACATGTGTGCATTATTAATATTTTAATACACGATTCTACTTTTTGTAGAACAATATGGACAAATCAACGAGGAAAAAATGCAAAGAAGGGGGCAAAACCGCACAATAAAGAAAAAGTGCAATGGAACCGCAAGGATGGAACTTATCCTTTGGCATAAAGCTATGATTGAATGGCCACACGAGAAAAAAAAGTTTCTCTTACTCATCGAATTGATTGTGTTCAGAAAGATGAAAACAAAAAACAAAACAAAAAAAATAATAATAATAATCACAGACTTGACAAATGTATATTATAAAATTAAATATGTTTTGTATGTTAAATTTAAAACTATAATCTAAGCACTTGCACCAAAAGAGCAATGGTGCATTTGGATAGATTCATTTAAAAGCATTTATAACATAGCTTTTTACAGAAATTATTATTTTTAATTTGGGAGAAAATACTAAAATTACTTTTTAATACATTTCTATTTTTATTAAAAATTTATCTATTTATAATTAGAACATATGAAATACTTTATAACTAAAAAGTATTTTTCATTAAAAAAAATACAAAATAACGAGTCTTTATAACTATTTCCAATCAATTCGTGTTTGCCGCAATACTAATTACTTATAAAAATTTTATAAATGCTTAAATAAATTGTCAAATATATATTCATATGATGGACACACTAATTTTTTTTTTTTAAAAAAAATACAGGCTAATTTATACTTTGGTCTATAGTAAATGTGCGATTTTGGTTCTTCAATAATTTTTTGCAACACTCAAATTTTTATTTTTTTTAATGAACTTGTCATCATTGTTGTTAAAAATTTGTGTAAAAAATATAAAAACTTACGTTTTTACTTAAATGATACATGTTAAAATGCAAGTAAAAATTGATAAAAACATAAATTTTTACATTTTTACTTAAACCTAAAAACTGGATCAGGTCAACTTTTAACTCATGACCCAATTTTATTTTAAAAAAATAAAAAAATTGGGAAGATATAGACAAATTAGACGTTGATGCCCGTGATGAGGAAAGCTTGGTTGAAGTGGAAGTGAGGGAACCTCTGGATGGTCACGATTTGGACATTCCAAGTTTTGCAAATGAACTTGTTATAGGAACAAAAGAAAAGGACATCGAGGACATGTAACTCATGTAAGATGATGTGTATGATTTGAATCAATTGATATAATTTTAGAAGTTGCTAAACTTTATTCTTTTGATATTTCGGAACTTGGTTGTAGGAGTTGTTAAACTCTTTTTGTATTTTTGGACCTATGTCTTATATAGTTATGTGACTTATATATTTTAAATACGAATTTGTTTATTAAATTTTGAGTAGTGACTCATGCGATACTTTATATATATATATATATATATATATATGAGAAAGTTCTTTTGACTCTAGAGTAAGATTTTTAAGTCTTACTCCTCATCTCAGTCATTGATTGACGAAAATAAACGGTTGTCATTTATGGTGTAATTAATAATTAACTAATTAATATAGCTTCCTAAACTATAATCATTGAATGAACGTAAATCAAAGGCTAGGATAAGGAGTAAGATTTAAAAATCTTACTCTGGAGTCAAATGATCTATCCCTATATATATATATATATATATATATATATATATATATATATATATATATATAGGGTCAGGATCATTTTACACCAGTGTAAGTTACACTCTCAATCTTGTCCATTGATCTCATTTATATCTAAGGGTTCAAATCTTTTAGTAATGTGAGCCATTGGATACAAGTGGATCAATGATTAAGATTGAGTGTAAGACTTCTAACTCTTACACCAGTGTAAGAATATCCTACCCCATATATATATATTTGTATCTTGACCTAAGCAGTAAAAATTTTAAGTTTCGTATCGTTTATGCAATTTATGTTTCTACCATCTTTTTTCGTTTTGACGTAGAAATTCGATTTTGACAACATTGCTTCACATTGAAATACTAATAGAAATTAATGGCATGACTAACGGTAATGTCATTTTATTAAATAAAACATCTTAATAAAATCATTAACTTTATTTTTTTTGGTAAACAACTTTAATTTATTTAAATATACTACTTTATATTTATTCATAGTTATATTAATAAATTAAAATCACGTCTATTGAGATAAAATCAATAAAATGTCTTGCAATATACCTAAATTTTTATTTATATGTTTAACTTCTGCGCACTAATTAGATGATAGACAGATGGAGGGGCATAATTTTTTCAATTAAAAAATTGAAGGATTTAATTCTTGAAATTATTTTACTGGAGACTAAAATCACAAATTGACCATAATATTAAAAATGTAATTAAGCCAAAAATAAATGTAAATAAATTGCATTTGAAAAATATTCCTTTGGTATCATTTTTGTGGTATGCGGTATATGCCATATATATGACACAAAAGCAGAAAAATTAATATGTTTCGTTTAATTAATGTGAGTACCTTCGATTAATTATCAAACATTTGTTAATACAATGGATATCAAAGTCCTTTAATTTATATTAACTTAAATATTACAATTAAATAACTTCAATATATTTCCTCTTTTAGGCTTTAATTTTAAATTATAATTTCGTAGTTTCTGTAGAGTGCACTGATAATAATGAGAATAAATAGAAAATGAGTAATGGCTTGGTTTAAAATAAGTAATTAATTAAAATCAATATCATAACCATTTCTATTATCTTACTGTAATTACAACCCTTAAAATTCTCTGTGTGCAACTTTTTTTCCGTCTCATTTTTTCATTTAATGTAAAAATTCAGGAGACAAATATACAAAAAAATAATATGAAAGTTAATTATCTTATATATTGTTTGAATTCCATATATATAAATTGGAATAAAAAAGTAAAATAATTAAAATACAAATTTATTCTTTACCATTAACAGAGATAATAATCCAAAGAAAATGATTTTTAATACCAAAAATATTATGTCTTTTGGATAAAATGACCAATATATAGACACTTCATGAATGCAAGATTCATAGGAGTGGAAAATGTAATTAAATTTCAGGAAATATGTTTCTCATGTATGTTGCAGCAATTTCTGCAATTATTTTTTAATTATGTACTCCCAGAAATACATAATTAAAAGAAAACTAGCAACAATTTTCAAATATTATAATTTTATACTTTCGGAAATACATAATTAAAAAACGGTTGTAAGAATTTCTGTAACATGAGAAAAAGGAACCCTTAAATTTATATTTTTTGTTTCTATTTTTGAATAATTGATTTTATTAAAACCAATATAAATTAATCCTCTCGTATTAGTCTTTCTGATTTTGTGTCATATATATACCTATATGTGGCAAAACTAGTCAGTTTCATGGCCGGTGCTTCTAGAGGTGGCAAAGCGGGCTGCTCGCCCCGCCTCAGCCCACCAAAAAGTGGGTTGGCTCGCCCCGCCCCATCTTTGAAGATGGACTAGATATCTCAGCACGTCTCGCCCGCCAAGCCCGTGACATTTTATACTAAAAATTTAAAAAAAAATAAAAAAAATCAGCCTGGGCGAGCCGGCAGGCTTGGCGGGCAGCGAGTTTGAAAAACTCAGCCCGCTCCGCCCCGTTTGGCAGGGGGAGGCCCGACGGGCTCGGCCCATTTTGCCGGCTTTAGGTGCTTCTATGAAAGGGTTACTTGGAATAGTGCACTTTACCAACAAGATGCAAGTAGCAGCCTATATAATTTACAGAGTCCATTTTTTATTGTTTAAAGCAAGAATTTTTTAAAATTCAGTGGTATAATTTTAGGGATTTATTATTTTTATATTATATAAGAAAGAATTTATTTTCTACACACACAAATTTAAGATACCACTCTACTACCTTACCTGCATAAATAAGTCTATAAGAGATAATTATTATCTCATGCTACATGAAAAACTATTATCCATAATTTTAACCGATGAAATTCTATGCAATTGTTTTAAAACTGGGAAAAAAATACATAAAGAGAAATCTCTTGAACCAATTAAAAAAAAAACCATCAACTAGTTAAGCATTATAAGTATGAATGATGAGTTTTATAAGAGTTATGTTGTAGGAAAAGTAATTGTGTAACGTTATAGAGATTCGTTTTGCGTGTGTAGTTTTTTTTTTTGTTTCAAAAAGTGTAAACTCCACAAAATATTATATGTCTAAGAAACTTTTTTTTGTGTGATGTTAAATGATAAATCCAAACCTTTCGTTAATCATTAACAAATGTATAAAGTGTAACAAGAAAAACGAAAGTACGGTAACAATAACCTACAACATTATACGAAGTGACGAAGGTGGCCCTACACGTGGCAATAACAAGTGCCCAATAACTAAGACATGAACCACCAACCAATGTGCCAACAGTGACTTGTTTGTCTTCGCTTCAATTCTGTTTCCCTCTCTATAAATTGGCATTTCACGGTGTGTTTGAAGGCAAGAGAAACCGCAAAAAATAAAAAATAAAAGAAGAAGCAATGGGTGTGAACTCCAACAGAGTAGAGCACTTTGATCACCATGAAACAACCACCATAAAAATCCAAGAAGAGATACCAATGCCACCATTGGAAATCCACACAGTGCGGTTGCCACCACATAGAACCACACTCCAGAAACTAAGACAAAGACTCTCCGAAATCTTCTTCCCTGATGACCCTCTCCACCGTTTCAAGAACCAAACTTGGTTCATGAAATTGCTTATTGGCCTTCAATACTTCTTCCCAATTTTCCAGTGGGGTCCTGAATACAACCTTACCCTTCTCCGCTCTGACATCATCTCTGGCCTCACCATTGCTAGCCTTGCCATTCCTCAGGTCTAAACTTTATCATAATTTATATATTTATATATGTACTTGTTCTTATATATATTCATTCATATTTCAGAATTATCATAACATGTCTAAATATTTTAAACTGTGTCTTCTTTGCAGGGAATCAGTTATGCGAAGCTTGCAAATTTGCCACCTATTGTTGGATTATGTTAGTATTTACTGTTTCCGCGTGGTACTAGATTTATTGTAAATATGATGATGTATGTTTGAATCTGAAGTAACGTTTTCAACTGGTGCAGATTCTAGTTTTGTGCCCCCAATGATATACTCACTGCTTGGGAGTTCTAGACATCTTGGTGTTGGACCTGTTTCAATTGCTTCTTTGGTTATGGGATCAATGTTGAGTGAGGCAGTTTCTTACACTCGAGATCCAATTCTCTATCTGCAATTGGCTTTCACTGCCACTTTCTTTGCTGGTTTATTCCAAGCCTCTTTGGGTATATTCAGGTATTAAATGAAATCTTGCATCATCTTGTTATTTACTTAAATATTTCATGATTAATTTAACCCTGGATTCTCTCTATACAGGTTAGGCTTTTTAATTGATTTTCTCTCGAAGGCGACACTAGTGGGTTTCATGGCAGGTGCTGCGATCATTGTGTCATTGCAGCAACTGAAAGGGTTACTTGGAATAGTGCACTTTACTAGCAAGATGCAAATAGTTCCTGTATTGATCTCTGTTTTCAAGCAAAGAGACGAGGTACACAACTACACCACAAGACAAGCATCATATTTATTCGCAATTTACAATTTAAGAATGCTTGGAATAAAATATTTTAGGAATTAAGTTGGTATATAAATGAAATTTTTTATACACAGTAAGGATGTGCATGAGTCGAACCGAACTAAATTTTTTGAAAAATTGAACCGAATTGATTTAAATGATTCGGTTCAAAACTATTTCAATTCAGAAGTGGTTCAGTTTGGTTGGAAACGGTTCGGAACCAGTTCGGATCGACCCTATTTTGAAAAGAAAAAAATTTAAAATTTAAGAAATAAAGTTATAAAAATCAATTTGGTTCGGTTTGAAAACAGTTCGGTTCAGTTCAGTTCAGTTCAAAATGGTTCGGTTCTTAATCTGATTTTAAAAATCGGTTCGGTTTATGAACTGATTCTTTAAAAACGGGTTCGGTTCATAAACTATTTTTTAAAAACCAATTATTTTAAGGGCGGTTCGGTTTGGTTTATGGTTTGATTTAGTTTTTGGGTTATTTTGCACACTCTTATAAACAGTGTTGTAAAACAACTAGAAACCCATTTGAATTTGGTTGGATTAGATTGGATTTTATATGATATTAATTTTCGGAATTGATGTATTTGTCTATATTAATTAAATCATTTAACCTATTCTTGGCAAGGACAACAATTAAAACTTGATTTATAAATTAGTTCGAATTCTTTGCAATAGTATAAAACATTAAAACTTTTTTTTTTGTATAAATATAAAACATTAAAACTTGATCTCTAAATTAAATCAATTTTTTATGGGAAAAATGTGTATCATTTTAAAGGATGTAAATTTGTGTCATTTTAAGTGAGAGAAAAAGATAGATAAAAGATGAGAGAGAGTGGACAAAAAATTATAAAAGGTGTGGATCTCACCTCTTTGTGAGAGTGAAATGATATAAGTTATGTCCTTTAAGAGTACAAACATTTTTCCCATTTTTTATTGATTTGAAACATAATTTCTTGGTTTTGAAATACGAGTAAAGTTGAGAAATTAAAGAAACAAAAACAGCCATAAAAAATCAATTATTGTTTTGATGTTTTTATAGGTGAAGGCTAATACTCTGTAAAGCCACCTAGAAAATAAAATAACTATTCCCCACGACACGACTCCTTCAAACATTCTGATAGCACTGATTCTTTTTTAAGAATTAAGGCTATTATTGCACTCCAAGATTGCTAAGCTAAGGATAGCTATTTCTTTTTAGATATGCTTTCTTGGAGATTTGTATTAAAGAATCATATTCCAATTCATTTTTTCTTGGAGAACCATAGCAAAAGTTTTATAGTCAATTTTTCTTCCTTCAAATAATCCTACCATGAACTGAAGAGCTAGGGAATTAAGGGTTGCTTTTAAATGAAAGGTTCTTGTCCTAGTGTTGCAAGTTTACGCGTAAATACATGCAAGTTCACTAACATATTTGAGTAACTTGTGCAGTGGTCATGGCAAACCATTCTTCTGGGATTCGGCTTCCTGGTCCTCCTGCTGACAACAAGGCACATTGTAAATTTCTCTATCTTAGATAAACACATTTATTGAATCCACTGTCATTCGCTTTGGCTATTCATTTATTGTCTAAGACCTGACAGTTTTGAATCATTGCAACAGAGCTTGAAGAAACCAAAACTATTCTGGGTTTCAGCAGCTGCCCCATTGACATCAGTTATTTTATCAACCCTTTTAGTCTTCCTTCTGAAAAATAAGACTCATAAAATTGCAGTTGTAAGAAAGATACTTGATCGTTGTTTTTTTTCTTTCTTTTTTAACACATAAGAGATGCACAAATATAAGTTCTCTAACTAATAAGTACTCCTGTCTATTCTCCGGCAGATCGGGTACTTACCAAAGGGCCTTAATCCACCATCATCAAACATGTTATACTTCAATGGTCCTAACTTAGCTGTTGCCATCAAAACCGGCATTGTCACAGGGATCTTATCTCTCACTGTAAGCTGACCCAAAACTAGTAACACTTTTGTCTGTTGGTCAATGTGCCTTTATACTCAACTACATGTTACTTACTCATATTCAACCAAATTTCTTATGTTGATATATAGTGACAGAATCATTTGACAACGATGTTAAATTTAAATCCTTATATTTGATTTCCGCCAATCAACAGTTATCCTTCATTGGGAATCAAACTTATTAATTAATATTAATTCCCAATAAATAATAACCGTTGATTAGCGGAAATCAAAGGTTAAAATTTGGTGTCAAATTTCAAAATTTCACACCGGTGTGAAAGAATCCTATCCTTATATATATATATATATATATATATATATATATATATATATATATATATATATATATATATATATGCCTTTATACTCAACTACATGTTACTCATATTCAGCCAAATTTCTTATGTTTCAGGAAGGAATTGCAGTAGGTAGAACATTTGCAGCACTAAAGAACTACCAGGTGGATGGAAATAAAGAAATGATGGCTATTGGTCTTATGAACATGGCTGGCTCGTGCTCTTCATGCTATGTCACAACAGGTAATAATTCTCCTCTAATTTGAGTATTTGACCATATGACTAGTTATATTAATAGCATCAATGTTGAGAAAGTCTATATTCTTTTTTTAAAAATATACTTGCAGGATCCTTTTCTCGATCAGCTGTTAACTACAATGCGGGTGCACGGACAACAGTTTCAAATATAATCATGGCTGCGGCTGTTCTAGTGACCCTTCTGTTTCTGATGCCTCTGTTCTATTATACACCAAATGTTGTATTAGCAGCCATTATCATCTCTGCTGTGATTGGGCTAATAGATTATCAAGCTGCATATAAATTGTGGAAGGTTGACAAACTTGATTTCGTGGCCTGTTTGTGCTCCTTTTTTGGGGTTTTATTCATTTCAGTGCCTTTAGGCCTTGGTATAGCGGTAAGCTGATAATTCATTAAGCTGTTTCCTGTCATTACAAAGCTGAAATATAGTGTATGATACTGCTATTGCTATGTGATTAATACCAACTGTCTTGGCCAAAACCTTCAGGTTGCCATATCAGTCTTCAAGATCCTCCTTCATGTCTCTCGACCAAATACTTTGGTTTTGGGGAATATACCAGGAACACAATTGTTTCACAACCTAAACCAATACAAAGAAGCTTTAAGAGTTCCTTCATTTCTCGTTCTGGCTGTTGAGTCTCCAATCTATTTTGCTAATTCAACTTACCTTCAAGAAAGGTTATTTAGCAGATTTCTAGAATGTCAATTCGTGAATTTCAGTATATTGCTTTGAGTGAATCCATGATTTCATATGATTGAGAGCTTCTCCTGCCACAGGATACTGAGATGGGTTAGAGAAGAGGAAGAGCGTATAAAAGTAAATAATGAAAATTCATTGAAGTGCATAATTTTGGACATGACAGGTACATATTTCACTGGACTTACAACATTAGTTAGTTAAGGTTCGGGCATGTTTTGACTTAACAACATTGTTTTCTCAGCTGTCACAGCCATAGACACAAGTGGGCTTGACACTTTATGTGAACTTAGAAAGATGCTGGAGAAAAGATCACTTCAGGTACAGACACTAATTATTGACATTTCAGAAGGACTAAAGAATATCATTGTTTTCTTTCTAATCCCAACATTTACAATTGGCTACTGCAGCTGGTGTTGGCAAATCCTGTTGGAAATGTGATGGAAAAGTTACACATGTCAAAAATTTTGGATTCCTTTGGATTAACAGGAGTATATCTTACAGTGGGAGAAGCTGTGGCTGACATTTCATCATCCTGGAAAGCTCAGCCTTGATTTTCCATGAATGGCATTCTAGGACATGAGAAAGAGATATTACAGGAACCATCTATCCAACTTTTGGTGATAAACTCTTAACTCCGGAGTTTTTGCCTGCGAGATATGCTCTTCTTTATGTCTCTGGGACAGTCTAATTTCAGCTAGTAGAAACCCTAAACCAATATTAGTTCAAAAACAAGGATGATCCTGCCGGTCACTTATATTTTCTGCTTCTTTAGCAATTTTGTCTTTTGTTAGACGGAAAGAGCATCCAAGAGAGACATGTTATTCATGTAAAATATTTGAGTGAGAAATATGAATATAACTTTTAACGGAAGAACAAAGAAAGAATATAATATATAAACATAGTTTTCTATTCAGGCAACTTTTCTGTCACGATGACATGATACGTATGCAGATGCAGCAAGCCTGTAAATAAGAAGTCGGGATTGATTATGCCAGGAAAGAAGTAAAGAATATGAATAATTCGTAAGAAAGTTCAAACCCACAGCGTGTTAAAAAATGATTGAAAGATTTAAATAAATTTCAATAAGGTTCAAACCCACTTGCAGTTAATGTTTTTCTAAAGAAGAAGAATATCGTGAACCTCATATTAATATAAGTGGGGCTCGTTAGCAGAAGCACGGCCTTCGATGAACATTAAATATGAGGAATTTAACCTGCCCATGAGTTAATCAATTGTCTGTAGTAGTTTTCAGTCCTCACTTAAACAAGCTTTATTACCAAGACAAAAGGGAAATCAACAAACATGTAGTAGATATTATCTTTTAAGGTGGGAGATGAAGCAATGACATCAACATGCACTTCCAAGATTTAACGGAGACTTAGTTTAATGCCTCAGCTCAGCCCTCAATTGATCACCCACATATAAGTATTAACATTTGAAGGCAAGGAGAACATTCAAATCTTACAATCTCAGGCAAGAAAACCTATAAAGATCTGTATCAAGGCGAACTATGAAATGCACAAATGCTTTCGGTAATCGTACACAACAAACAGGAATTTTTACAAGATGCTTACAGGTTAACACCCTACACCAAGAAGTTATAGTGAAAAAGTGAAACTACCAATAAAACTAAACAGAGAAAGACAAATGAGTTACAAATTTATCGATCAATTAAGAAGTTAAAAGAAAGTCTAGGAAGTCCATTCTGCGTTCTGACATAACAACATCATTTCAAGTTATGGCACACAATTATATTTCCAAGATTTGAAACAGATCCAAGAACTCACAAAAGGGTAAAAAGAATAGAATAAGCAGATGATCTTGGTTAAAAGTAAGGAGGGGTGGGGTGAGAAAAAGAATAAGATCATCTTACACAACTATCGGACTTTCCTGAAAAATGGTCTACCTAGGCTTGTTGAGTTATATATGTTTAACTCTACAGCAACTAACGAAGAATACAAAGGAAAATGTAGTTCTCCTGTATCACAACTTTTTCTTGACTTCGAGAGTCAATTTACTTACGCCAATCAAACATCTGCAAGGAAATAGACTGTATTAAATTACAGGAATAGTCAACATGACAACATGTATTTGGTAAGATATTAACTTACTGCTAGGCAACACATGATAATGTCCACATAATCCCAATATTAAAAATAAAAAAAATCTTAATAAATGAATGATGTTAACTCAGAAAGACAGCACCTCTCACAGTATACAATAAGAAAATCAAATTGACACGACAATGTAAAGCACAATGCATAAATTAATGTTCTCTCCGGGCATAAACATTCCAAGTAAAAAAAGAGAACAAAAGAGAGAAAGAAATCAAAGGGTAGCACAACAGCTTGTTGTGATGTTAAATGCTTGCCTAACATTTTACTTTGACATACTTCTGAAGTAAAGCATAGAACAAAAAAAAGACATAATACAACATATAATGAATCACAGATAAACAAATTTTCAAATAACACATGTCCAATTAGCCGTTCATACATCCATAAAGGAGAAAGTTCTTACTTGAACGATATCGTGTTATCGGTATCTCCCGGAGTTCACGCCTGATGCACAGATATTCACCTAGCAGAGCCATCACTGCAATTCCAATAACATTCACAATCCACCATGTTATAGAGGAAGGCCAACCCCCATAGACAATGCATATAAAAAGATGAACGATGTACAGAGTGGCAGAAAAATCCAAGCACTTCTTTGCCCTTTCAATCAAATAAAGCATATACACTGCCCTGCATAAAAAAAGACAGCAGTGCAAGTCTTTGAGTTACTAAATAAATTCAGTTTACAAGCCTAAAATACATAAAATCCATAACATAACAGCAAAGAATGCCTCCCTTGGACCCCTCCTCGGCCCGAAATAATCACGGAAAAATAAGGTAAACGAATTGCATGTAATTAAATCCAAAACTATGATAATAATACTATTAAGGAGTAGAGTCATAATCATTATAGTCTCATGAATGGATGACAAGTAAGTCACAGAATATTAGGAGTTATCAATAGCCAGCAAGTTAAGTAAGATGGAAGTTTTACCCTGCAATGGAGGTGAAGAAAAAAGAAGCAATGACACACCAACCAGTGAGGGTAGAAGTAGTGATGGTAACAAAATCGAAGAAATAAACGAGGCTCATCCTAGATACGTGAGTTCCAACTAGAATGGACAAGAACAAGCCGAGAGTGATGTAGTACAAGCATTGGATGCAAACAATTTGAGCAACAATAAGACAAGGGTCCCATATCACCGAACCAAAGAACATGACGGCGTCAGCGTCACAATCCCAATCCTCCTAAATCCCTTCTTTCACCTTCAAAACGAATCAAACCCTAATCCCCCTAAAACTATTGCATTGCTACCCACTTCCCAATATTAAAAAAAGCAATCAAATTTAGAAACCCCAGTTCTCTTAAAAAAAGCTTCCAGCTCAAGCCACGCTTCATGTGCACTCAGATTTGGGTTCTGAAAGGGATAACTATTGATGAAAAAAAAAAATCACCATAGTATTCGAAAATCAAGACAGTTCGAATTTGAAAAACGGGGGAGAAGATTCCTACTTTCTTGCAAGACCGTGAGATTCGGATGAAGCGGAGGCACAATCTGACAGGTTGTGATTTGTACCGAAAACCTAATCGAGGAAAGAATGAATGAGATCGACGACACAAGGAAGTGGGGGTGGGGAATGGGGATGGAGAGATGATGATATTTTGGAAAGAGAATTTGCACCAAGCAAGTTCAAACTCCATGTGTCGTTTACCTCTATTATTGGTCGTTTTGACAATGCTCTAAAGACAAAAAAAATTAATATGCACTTAAGCGAGTAGATGTGTTATAATTTTTTTTTTTTATTTTTTTTTTTTTTGAATAAACCACGCTTAACATCTACCATTTGAATCAATTCCCTTTGTATGTGTTGTAATTTTAACATCTCCTTTAAAAGCTACATGTTTCCTCTAATTGGTCGTTTACCATTTTATTTTTTATTTTATTTTTTGTCCACTTTAAGGAATACAGAAACTTAAAAACTATGTAGGTTCGAACAATTTCGAGAAAAGACAAAAACTGCATTCACAGGCAACAATTCCTACTGTGTTGTTTCATTTGTACAATGCTACTACTGCAACATGGAAATGTTTGCATTCCGAAGTGATGTGAATAAAGTGCAACATCAACTGCCTTCCAAATAATTTCTTACAGGATAACGTTCTCTTAATTGAAATTTTTCCTTTTAGAAAGCTCTCCAGTTTCACTACGTTATTGGAGGTTTAGCCTTGCTTCTTCTGATATTCTTCCGGGCATTTACCGTGTCCTTGTTTTCACCTTCATCTTTCTGCAATTACTCGTTGTTAACAGCAACTTTTAAAGAGCTTATCTGCCTCTTCAAGCGCAATACCTCATCCTTGGCAGCAGAAGCTATTTCCTCACCCAATTACTCGTCTTTTGAGACTTGCTTCTCCAAAGTTTGTAGATCTTTGTTCAAACAAGTAATTCTTCCTTCAAATCCTCAGTTATGGTTTCAGCCCTTTTGTAGATGTCAATTAATTCTCTTTGTAAGCTATCACTGATTTCAAGAGCTGCTGTCAGTTCATGGGACATATTTTGCACCTCTGTTTGTGCTTTCTTCAAAGTGTTAGAAGAACTACGAAAGCCCAATCGGTATATAAAAGGTTCAAGGCTTTTATATAAAGAAAGTTACAAACTCACAACGATGCATTTGTTTAGATTATATGAATGGGTCTACGGTCTATTTACATCTACCTCGTCCATTTTACAAAAATAAACCTACCAAACTGGCATTTTAATTTGTCCAAGCAGACTTTCTTAGGATTTTAAAAATAATCATGTGGAGCAAGTTTGAATTTCTATTTTTTTTTTCTTTTCAGATACGGTCCTGCACCCCCCTTCTTTCCGGGCACTCATTTCAGTCCAACAAACTAACCAACTCATAACAAACTAACAAAAATTGATAGAGAGAGATATCTTGACTTGGTAAGAGGGATTAGTTTCACTCTTCTTTCGGTGACAGTGGCTTAATGCACCATCTATTTAAATGAGAATCTAGCTTTAGAGATTGTACTTCGATAATAAGATAGTTAGAAGAGATTGTGTGTGGATATCTCCAGATTATCTACCAAAAAAATGTACAAAAATTAGTAATGAGAGATACCTTGACTTGGAGTAGATTTATAGAAATTGGTAATGGGAGAAAGATTTTGAGAAGTGGGATAATTAGGAAAATTTATTCTAGGAAACAAGTGACTGAGAGAGAATGAGGAATTTATAAAGAGGGTTATGGGGCCTGGATGTTTGAGATTACGCCACTTGGTGTGGTAAGTTCCCAAAGGGGACCGTAGAACTGATATTAGGAAAGAAAAAAAATTAAAATTCAAATCAATTTCACAAGGTGAGCAGCAAAATTGGTATAAAAAAAATTAATTACCCTGAGTGGCCCGCGAAATTGATAACCGGAAAAAACTGAATTTCAAACCAATTACGTGGGATGGTGTCAGCAATAGGGATGGATAAATTGAGTCAATCTATCGAGTTGATTTGTAACCCACAAAAAATAAGACGGGTTGGAATGGCAAAAAATGTGCTGACAACTCGGAGCCAGCTCGAAAAAAATCGAGCCGATCCGTAGGTCAAACGGGTCAACTAAGCACCCATAAAATGGTACGCGAGACTATCTACTGCGTGTTCCAACACTTTGCTTCCTAGATGTTGTTTTTCCACTGATATGCAATACCTTTCCATCTGAAATTCCATTGGCTCCAATAATTCATAGCCACCTAAATTGAGGTTACAAGTTGAGTAAAAGAAATAAAATGACCGGGAGTGTTGGTGAGGCACATGTAGAGGTTTGATGTTGATGGTGTGGGCTGCTCTTGTTGGGAAATATACGACTTTTGCTGCAAGGATGGTGGATTTGCACCAAAAAGGCAAAGTTGTGGAAGTGTGAGCACCTTCGGCACATAGACTTTTTCTTTTCTCATTTTTTGAGAAAATTCATGAGTCAACTCTAACTCGGCTCGGGTTAGAATTTCTGGCTTGTTTTTTTTTTCGAGTCAATCCTATCTCAGCTCATTTTTCTCGGGTTACAAACGGATTAGGCCGGGTCAAGTCGGGTTGACCCGTTTTGTCAATCCTAATTAGCCATATTGGTTTTTTCAAAAAAATAAAGAGTTCCCAAAAAGAGATTTGCAGAACTGGTAAAAGCGGGCGGGCAAGCGGGCAGGCGGGGGAGACAGTTCCTTGGGAGATAGGGCCGGATCCAAACAACTCCACAAAAAATAATTTTGTAGGCATATCAAATGTGAAAAATGTAATTACAAAGATCAATAAAAATACACGAGGTGACCTTTATTTCTTGCACATAAAATATGAGGATATTTTATTGTGTTTTAATTTTTTTTTAAATTATTTTGTAGAGTAGTCAATAAAATGAGTGTTTTCTATTTTTTTTAAAAATTAAAAATTAAAACACAAAATAGAAACAATTAAAATATATTTTCTAAATTTGATTTAAAAACTAAAAAAAATATAATTTTTGGAATCATTTTTACGTAACAGGTATTATTTACAAGTTTTTTTATTTTCTTTTTTAAATTAAAAAACTGTTTTGAAAACAGAATTCAAACATGCCTTTGTCCCTAATTTTGTATTATTCAGAGAACTACTTTGCCAAGATGAAAATGTTTTTCTTTGATTATTGTAAAGTGAAAATAAAATGTACAACTTTTTTTTCCAAGCTAAAAGGTATTTGCCACGGCAAATTGTACTTTACATGATATGATGTAAAGCATAAGTTGGTACTAAATTTTTTTGGCACAAGTGATAAGGGCATAAGCCTTTTAAACACAGATTTTGAGTTTTAATTTTGAGAATAAAAAAAAAAAGAAATTTTGGAGAGTTGTCTTCGAAAAAGTTTAACAGTACTCCATAGAGATTAGTCTTCAGTTACGGCCGAAGAATATCTTTGAGTTTATTCAAAAAAAAAACAAAAACAAATTGATATGATATAAAAGGTTGAAATTATTAAATTAAAAAAGTATTTTTTTTTATTTTTTTTTATGTTGATATGATATAATGACATGCGTGCATTATAAATATTTTAATACACGATTCTATTTTTTGTAGAACAATATGGACAAATTAACGAGGAAAAGGTGCAAAGGGGAAAATATAGAAAAAGTGCAACGGAACCGCAAGAATGGAAGTTATTACTTGGAACTGGCTTGGTGGTTCGTAATTACAATACTTGGGGTTCTCCTCCTTCACATCAGAAATTAAATTGGGGCTTAGCCCCTCTTTATTTAAAAAAAAAAAAAAAAAAAAAAGCTATGATCGAATGGCCACACGAGAAAAAAAGACATAATACAACATATAATAAATCACAGATAAACAAATTTTCAAAAAAGACATGTCCAATTAGTCGCTCATACATCCGTAAAGGAGAAACTCACAGATCCTTTTATTTTTGAGCTAAAACCTACTTATAAGCTAAAGCTAAAAAAACGAGTTTAAAAAAAAAATAAGTTAAAAACTGTTTGGAAATTACATAAAAAATTTAGCTTAAAAGCACATATTTCAAAAAAATTATCTCTCTTTCCCTATCTTTATCACTCTTCATTTAAAAAAGCATACAATTTAAGAAAAACAACAGATACGAGCTTAAAAAAAACTCCTCCTAAAAACTTTTAGTTTTTAACTTTTTTCTTCATTATAAAAAAAAAAATTCGTTATAAAAGCTCTTCCCAAATCCGTAAACCATGTAATAGGTATCTCCCATAGCAATTCCAATAACATTCACTGTTGAGATATATAGTCTCACATTGGTTGTATGTGCCACTAATGTGGCCTTTATAAGGTCTTGGGCAGTCTCACCCTTTGAGCTAGTTTTTGGGGTGGTGTATCCAAGGTTCTTTACCTCACCCGTCCCCCGCTTTAAAAAGTGGAATTAAAATAAAAAGCACAAAGGTAAACCAAAAATTGGGCCTGTGCAATTCCACGCTTCTAGCCCAAAGGGCTCTTGCGTGAGGGGACATGTTGAGATATATAGTCCCACATTGGTTGTATGTGCCACTAATGTGACCTTTATAAGGCCTTGGACACTCCCACCCTTTGAGCTAGCTTTTGGATTGGTGTATCCCAAGATTCTTTCCATTCACAATCCGTAGACCATGTTATATAAAAAGATGAACGATGTACGAGTGGCAGAAAAATCCAAGCACTTACTTTGCCCTTTCAATCAAATAAAGCATATACACTGCCCTGCATAAAAAAAAGACAGCAGTGCAAGTCTTTGAGTTACTAAATAAATTCAGTTTACAAGCCTAAAATACATAAAATCCATAACATAACAGCAAAGAATGCCTCCCTTGGCCCCCTCCTCGGATCACGGAAAAATAAGGTAAACGAATTGCATGATTGTCAGCATGTAAATAAATCCCAAACTATGATAATAATACTATTAAGGAGTAGAGTAATAATCATTATAGTATATCATGAATGGGTGACAAGTAAGTCACAGAATATTAGGAGTTATCAATATAGTATCATGCTGTCAGTTCACGGGACATATTAGAAGAACTATGAAAGGAGCCCCGCATCGGTAAATTGAAAAGATTTTAAGTCTTTTATATAGTGAAAGTCACAGAATCTGTGGACACGACCGTTGGTTTA